TTCACTATGACGTGTAAATTCTTGATGTTTGCATATCGGTGCATCAGGATCTTTCGTTATATCTTCCAATATCATATGCGGCCTTCCCTTCCCAGTGTATATAAAATCCACCTCACAGGATTCACATGTGGTTATCAAAATTCGTGCTTTGTTGACAAATGCTTAATTGGGTGTAAATCACGTAGGGACATGCCAAGTGTCTGGAACAATGTATCAGGCCGTGAAAATGTAGAAGTCCCTAGTCCCTTGGTACCAAACACGCTAAGTAACAAAGATGAAAACTCCTCACCACTGTACATTAAGCTACGGATATATCTTTGGGGCTGAGAACCTTTTGAGAATAACCTCGGCTAGGTGGGAGAATCCATTGAAGGGTTGAATTGCACTTATTGCTTCAAGATGGCATTACGACACGCAGTATAGGGTCATGATTTAGGATCGCATAATCCAATACCAAACCCAGTAATCATCTCCTTATATGGGTATCAATTGACCAAAATCTGATTCACAAAATGTTAGATCATGTTGTAGATAAGAATCGCTTGTTCTATAAAGCACCCTACGCAGATGATACAACATTGCGGACCTGTTCGTTGAAGCACTTGTATAAGGCGTATAATGAATCATACATTGTGAACTAGTAGGTTTCTGGTATAGCGATTTATAAAACTTGTCCACTGCATGTATGATGTTATAATCAAGATATGACAATGTTGGCTGGTTATCATTTTTTTCATTTACAGTTTCCAAGTCGTATGTCACCTCATAACCCGTCCACTTTGTAAATGAGCCATAAAGTTGTCCACCGCCATCTTAGGCAGTGGACGCGCTTCACGCGTTTGTGATATCCGTATTCTTTCAAGTTCATGGTCGTCACGTTCTTGTGCAGTATGTTTAAACCGGAAATTAATTTGGTTTGTAGTATTTCGGGTTCTTCTACCTAAATTACTTTGTCTTACAGGATGCATATCGAATATAAATTGTGTCACATGCAATAATTAGTGATCATAGGTAATTAAACACTTTACACAAAACACGATATAAAAAGAAAACTCAGTAAAATATTAGTATGTATTTAAATTCTTTACAGCTCATATATTAATGACAGTATTTAGTTATTATATTTGAAATTTGAAATACTGATGAGGTTGATCGGAGTCCAGCTAATCCAAAACATTTAGAAGCACGGTAGAATCTAGGTCTATTATATGGCCTGCTCCGCTGTCGTAGTGAGTTGGCTCGTTAGGCGTATGGAGTTGAAGGATATAGTCATTAACATACTACACAATTTCCTTTCCGGCCCTATTCGCACTTCTATCACTCCAGTTTCTGTAATAACCATTCAAGTCTCCAGCAAGGAATGTGGGTAAGTTGTTACTAATCTGTATTGCTAGGTCCACCAGATAGGTTTTCACGTTTGGCGGCCTATAAACTGAGGTAAAAATGATATTACCCGTTGGATATTCTACCTCCACTAAAGTAGCTTCGAGTGCTTGTAGATTATCAATTCTGAGATGGTGTTTGATGTTTCTCCTAATAAGAATAGTAGTGCTTCCTCCTCTTCTTGGGACCCTGTCTGATCTGTGAATGATGTAGTTAGGGATTTTTAGCTGCATTGAGGGCTTAAGAAAAGTTTCTTGCAGGACCATAATATCTTTTTCGAAATCATGAAGAAATTGTGTAACCTCGTGTTTCTTGTTTGTTATGGAATTTGCATTCCAGGTTACAACTTTCAAGCGATGTGATGGTGTGTTCATTGTGAAGTTAAAGTTGGCAGTAGGATTTGTAGCATGGCCAGCATTATATTCTTCATAATCGAGTTCAGCTGTCAGCTAATTTTTTAGACGATTTGATTTTCGTATCGTAAGTTGGGAAATCTTTATTGTAAGAGCTAGAGGACCTACAGCCTGAGGCAATGGGCTCCTTAGCAGCGGTCACCAACTCCATGTCCTCATCGCTGGAAACAGTAGAGCCACGGGAGGAGCTAAATGGGGAGGGTGGTGAAACCTTCTTGCTTTTGTTGTTGCGGCCTTGTAAATTCATTGTATATGGCTTTGAGCTGATTTGCAGCTGATGCTCCACCTCTACACAATGTGATTTCAACTCTTGTAATTGCAGCAACAACTTTGAGTAATTTTCTTGCAAGAGTTCACACACACACACACACGCGAGTTTACCAGGGGTACGTTAAAGATATTTTTTAAGAAGAAACAGGAGACACTGTGTTTCGTTTTTTCTTTAGGTTGTTTATTAAAGTAGATGACGATTTTATAAATTATACAGAATCACAAATAGCAATCGTTGAATTGATGAAATGTTGTATTTGCTGAGTGTACTTGACCAGCCGGAGAGTCGGTAAGGTGTAATCTGAAACAGTGTTGAATCACAAATAGCCTGAATTAAATAGTAAAATGGTGAACTTGGGCAATCGAAATAGTGCTGTTATTGGAATGGGTTTCAAGCCAGACACAATTTAAAAAGTAAATTTAAATAATTGAGTTATAAAATAACTGTCTATAAATCTTCAGTTCAATCTTCAGTAAAACCAAAGTTGTTTTTATGTAAATACATATTTTTCTATATGATTATATGATTGTTTTTATTCCCGGATTTAAAATCCGGACAGATTGCATTATCTCGATTGTTTTTAAAAAAGTGTAATAAAAAGTTCAACTTCGACCAAGGACAAGGATAAAAGAGTTCTGGAATATTCTTCAAATCATGTTTCAAATAATGTTTTTGTATCACTTTATATAAATAACTAAACGCTGATGATATGATTGATATATTAAAAATCTTGGTTAAACATTCCGTTAGCTCCGCATAAAGACATTTGAAAGCTGGTATATCATATTTTGCCACAAAACTAGTGACATCCGATGTCCAAGAATTAGTAATAATAGCTGCACAATTATTTAATTCTAACAGTGTTGAATCACAAATAGCAATCGTTGAATTGATGAAATGTGGTATTTGCTGAGTGTACTTGACCAGCCGGAGAGTCGGTAAGGTGTAATCTGAAACAGTGTTGAATCACAAATAGCAATCGTTGAATTGATGAAATGTTGTATTTGCTGAGTGTACTTGACCAGCCGGAGAGTCGGTAAGGTGTAATCTGAAACAGTGTTGAATCACAAATAGCAATCGTTGAATTGATGAAATGTTGTATTTGCTGAGTGTACTTGACCAGCCGGAGAGTCGGTAAGGTGTAATCTGAAACAGTGTTGAATCACAAATAGGCTGAATTAAATAGTAAAATGGTGAAACGATGCGTACTCTCGCCAGCTATAGCCAGGCGAAGGTCCCTGCCACTGGTGCTATGCCTGAGCACGCTCGTCAGCAATTGCCAAACGCTCGTACCTTCTGCACGTCTCCCAACAGTGTTGGTGGCTCGTCATCCGCTCCTCCATCAGCTTGGGCCAGATGGTGGTTCAGGTGACTGGTTGGGCTGCCTTATGCCAGCTATAGCCAGACAGGAGGTAGCTCACCCATTAGCACTCCACCCAGACTTGTCCGTCCATCCACATGGTGACCGTCAGCAATGGCCAGACGAATCGTCATGTGTCCAGACCAACTAGTCCGAGCTCCCACTGTTGTCCCTAACACACTCCTAATCCACTGCCGTTGACTCGCCATTCGGCTTTCCATCAGCAATGGCCAAGTGGAAATCCGATTGGTTAGTTGAGCTATCCCTCGTCAGCAAAGGCCAAACGAAAGGTAACTCAACCGATGTCAACTAGCTCATCCAACCTCAACTGTCCACCTGATGACCGTCAGCAATGGCCAAACGTCCCATCATGTGTCCAGATCACTTGAAATGAGCTCCTTATGCTTTCCACACGACTTACCTGAAACAGTGTTGAATCACAAATAGGACTCAACCCGTAATTTTGCTGCCTTTTATACAAATTTGTAAGCGACAAATAGCATTTCGCGTAAGCAAAATGCTATTTTGCACCACAAATTTTCCTATTACGAGTGGAAAGAAACATTTGAGGGAAGCAAAGTGCTATTTAGCACCACAAATTTTACTATTGCGAGTGGGAAGAAACATTTGACGGAAGCAAAGTGCTATTTAGCACCACAAATTTTACTATTGCGAGCGAAAGAAACATTTGGAGGAAGCAAACTGCTATTTTGTACCACAAATCAATTGTCTGACTCTATTAATAACTTGGTTAGTGGGGTTCAAATTTATAAATTAAATTTGGTCCTCACAGTGCCTACTCCTTTAACTTAGATGTTTGATTTTCTTCCAGGAAAAGTAGGCAGGAATTTTTCAATACAACCACTGATGCACAGTGAAAACTATCGTATTAACAGCGATAATTCAAAAATTTGACGTTAGATATCATTTTTTCCAGCACACAGAAATTGAAACGTATTTAATATTTTTTTAAATATATTTTTTTTTGGTTTTTTTTTTTTTTGGTTCATATTTATATTTATATTTATATTTATATTTATATTTATATTTATATTTATATTTATACTAGGTAACCCCGCGAACTTCGTACCGCTCAACAGTCAATAAATGTTATATTAAATTATAGGTAAACTAAATTTAGAAATTTATTGACGTAATAAAATGAATACAAAAAATTTATTGTATTGAATAGTTTATTAGGATATTGATATATAATTAATTATTTTAATGGTCTGTCAGCAAGAACCTATGGGTTGCACTCCGATTGATTCTCTTCAATAAAGAACCTTGTGATATACGATATTTTTTGTTTTTTTATCAGGCGCAAGAACAAATAAAGCAGATGGTTTGCCGACACGTGAACATGCCACATACAATTGACCATGTGAAAAACATGCATTTTCTAGATTCAGACCACAAACACTAAAGGATTGGCCTTGTGATTAATTTATAGTCATAGCGAATGCAAGCCGAATAGGAAATTGAATTCGTTTAAACTCAAAGGGCATATCGATTGAGATCATTGGAATCCTCGGAATGAGAACTTCATCACTTTTGAATTTTCCTTTGAGTATCATTGAATCACATTGGCCATCAGTTTTGTTATCACTAAACGCGTTCCATTGCATAGTTTTGGTTGGTTTAGATTTCGAAGCATAATGACTACCGAACCAATCTTTAATTGTAAATTGTGCGGTGGTAAGCCAGGCACATCCAAGGAGTTCAAAAATTCAGTTGGATAGTTGGTAGCTTCTTCTTCGTTTGTTACACAGTCAATAGATTTGAATGTATGCAGAGTACCAACGATTTGATTTTGAATTACAAAGCTTAAGTCATTCACATCTTTGTTCTTAGCTGCCAAAATTGCTCGCTCACTCAACCATTTTTTGTTTTTATGATTATCAATGATGTTCGGAAATACTTCATTGATGAGTTCGTCTTTTGATGAGACGAAATTGCAAAAATTTGAAGGAAATGCAATTAATCCGCTCGATTCTTCAACAGCTACACGGCCATTACCGATTAACAGCAATTGCTTGGAGAACTCTTCAGCAGATGTATCGTTTACCAATACAACTCTCATGTTTGTTACCAGTGAAGTTTCTTCACATAGCGCCAAAGATTTGATGATTTAAGGCAAGCATTTATTTCGTCGGCAGCAGTCGATTTTGGAATGACTGGGAGTGTTTGGCGAAAATCGCCAGACAGTAAAATCATTGCGCGTCCAAAACATCTCGAGTCATTGCGAAGATCTTTCAATGTTCTGTCAAGTGCTTCTAATGCGCGTTTGTGAGCCATTGTGCATTTGTCCCAGATGATGATTTTAGATGCTACTAAAACTTTAGCTATTGCAGAATGCTTCGCAATATTACATATCGGTTGCTCGGTAGTTTGAAGGTTTAACGGCAATTTTAACGCTCAATGAGCCGTACGGCATCCTTCTAACAATGTAGCCGCTATTTCAGAAGAAGCAACTGCTACCGCAATGTCGGAATATCGCACGAACAGTGGCCAAAATTAAAGACATGAATGTTTTACCAGTCCCACCGGGGGCGTCCAGGAAAAAAAAGCCACCATTTTCTTCATTAATCGCTTTCATTAATGTTAAACTTCCTACTGTGGCGGATTAAATAGAAGTACATTAGTTTGAACTGATTGGTCTAATTCATGTCGATCATATTCACGTTCACGTTCCAATTCTCGATTAAATGCGTTATTTATTCCACGATCAGGAGCTGGCATTCCTAATCTGACTAACAAATTACCGCTAGTATGGTAACATATGTCTTCGATCAAGAGCAAAGCCTGATTATGCATTTCATCATTCGCCTGAAGATCGGGATTTCTTGAACTGACACGAATTCTATGTAAAATGTCTTCTGACATGTTATTCTTATATTTGTTCCACAGGTCACGTGGATTCGATGGTATATTGAAAACAATATTTATTTATTATATTTGAATTTATTATATTTGAAATATTTAAAAAAAAAATTTATAAAGGAAATCAATATCACTCAAACTGTCGAACTGTCAACAGTTTGAAACAGCATTTACAAATTTATTATTTTTGCTAAAATTAGTGGATTTTTCCAATATTTTATAATGTAATCTGCTATTCGGAGCGGAGACGATTCCAACAAATCAAAGATAATTAAAATCGGTTCAGCCGTTCTTGAGTTATGGGTGGTCTAACTAACACGACTTTCTTTTATGTATATAGATTTATATTTATATTTATATTTATATTTATATTTATATTTATATTTATATTTCTATTGTTATGTTATCGCCTTTATGCGCGTATATTCGAATCACAGGATTTTGTAAAAAAATGAAACAAACTTCTTAATTAGCGAAACTATAGTTTATTATAGTATTGTAGTGTAGCATTAAAAAGAACTAGTAATTACTAGGAACAAATTTTCTAGAACACAGCTTCACTCAAAACAAATTCCAACTAACTTATTATAAAATATCAATTGACATAATCATTAAAAAATATTTAAACATTCCATTGTTAAGGGAGGGCAGGAAGAGAAACAAGAAAGAAGATAAGAAAGGAGGTAAAAAGAAATAGAAGAAAGAGAAGAAAAGAAAGAAGGATAAGAGAGAAGACAAGAAGGAAGATAAGAGGAAGAAGAAGACTGATTCAAATAATGAATAGGGAAAAAAGAAACAGAAGAAAGCGAAAAAAGGAAAGGAGGAAAGACTATTTCGGCTTAGATAGTTATGATTTCATGTTAATCGGCTCTGGTATAGCGGAATCAGTTGAAATTAACATCTGCTTGGTCGAGCAAGAGTCCCCATATGTTATATATGTTGAGGGTATTCTGTTTGAAGTAGATTTCACATGCGATGTTGTTATTCCATGTGAAGCAATTGGCACACATGACATATCCCCGTAAATATGCAATTTAAGGCAGATGACATATTAACTGTTAATATTCCATCCAATGCGAATGTCTTTGATAGCATGTTGGTTACAGATACTCAAATTGATGCCGGCAGTGCAGTTGATACAGTTTTCAGGATTAATCAGGAATTCAAATATGATGCTAAGATCGCAGAGGGCTTGTTGGTCGCGGATAAGTTATCTTATAAAGATATACGATTAAACGTTGATGCCGACCTCATAGATGATAAGAACGCGACAATCAATGGAAATGTCTTGTTTTATGAGGATACCACAGATGACGTATTGGCTACGGGTAGTGAATTTAATGCTGATGTCAGGGATGTCTTGTTCGTTTCGGATATAACAAATAATGATGATTTCACAACTGATATTGATAACATGTATTTGATGGTGCGGGTTTTGTTGATCAGTATATTCCTGATTGGCATACTCAATGCCTTGACAAGTTTGTTGCGTCTAACGTAAGTAGCATTGATGATAGTGACAGCTGTTTGCAAATGGAGGCTTATCGGGTGACTCAGACGACGCGGATTTAAAATTCGGAATAACGCCACTTTGCGGCAAGATGACATGTGACTACACTGGAGTAAGTGGGACCAAGCAGATGTTAATTTCAACTGATTCCGCTATACCAAAGCCGATTAACATGAAATCATAACTATCTAAGCCGAAATAGTCTTTCCTCCTTTTCTTTCTTCGCTTTCTTCTGTTTCTTTTTTCCCTATTCATTATTTGAATCAGTCTTCTTCTTCCTCTTATCTTTCTTTTTATCTTCTCTCTTATCCTTCTTTCTTTTCTTCTCTTTCCTCTATTTCGTTTTACCTCCTTTCTTATCTTCTTTCTTGTCGCTTTTCCTGCCTTCTTTTCTGTCTTTCCTTTTGTCTTCCTTCTTGTCTTTCTTCCTGCCTTCACTCCAGTTTCCATTTTCCGCACGTTTGCTGTAAAGCAACACATTTTACCGGCAGCTTCGTACGTTAAAGCGCCGCTAACTGTTTCAGAGTATGTCTCCTTCGAGAACATTACGACCTGACCCTTAGTTTCCGGATCACGTATGCCGTCTATTGAATTGTCGATTTTACTCTTCTCCATAATATCACCAGAGCTACCAATCTGGACCAAGTAACACAATCGTTCAATGTCGGCATTGAACTCTCCAGCACTCTCGTCAACAGGCGAAGCTCTTGCTTCCAATACTACCCTGTGTAATGGAGCCATAAAAACGTTACCGTACTTGCGCTCCAATGTATCCATTACAGCTTGGTAGTTTTGCCGCACTAGCGTCGGTGCCTGTAGTTCAACGCTACCAGTTTCACGAATGGCTAAAGATGACCCGCTTACCTGCCTACTCTCAGCATGGCTTTCCAATTGAACCGTCTCACCTTTTGAGACCTGGACATTCTGATCAATCGGGTCCTTTCTTCTCGAGCACCTTTTTGTAACTCCAACTTTAATTCGACAAAATTTTGTCCTAATGTGTGCGTGATTTCACTAAATTGTTGTTCCAACTTGCGTAAACCGTGCGCCTGTTCTTCTGAATTTTGCGCAAGCTTTTCTTCCAACTTGCGTAAACTGTGCGCCTGTTTTTCTGAATTTTTCTCAAGCTTCTGCATCATTAAGTTCATGATTGCCATCATTTCACTATTCTTGTCAGGTTTTTCATCTAGGAACTCGTGTTCTTCTACATTTATGCCATTAGCCTCCAACGCCTCACGAAGTCTCAACTGCAGTTCTGCTTTCACACCACCTGTGCCCAGTCCCACATTCTCCAACTGCTTTTTCAGTTGAACCACAGTCAATTTTTCCAATTTCACCATTTTACAAAATTCCACTTCTGACACCAAATGTTACGTTATCGCCTTTATGCGTGTATATTCGAATCACAGGATTTTGTAAAAAAATGAAACAAACTTCTTAATTAGCGAAACTATACTTTATTATAGTATTGTAGTATTAAAAAGAACTAGTAATCAAAACAAATTCCAACTAACTTTTTATAAAATATCAATTGACATAATCATTAAAAAATATTTAAAAAAAGTAACTTACTTATTATATAAATACTAGATAACCCGACAAACGTTGTTTTGCCTTATAAATTATTTCTAGTTTCTAGATAAATTCTAGTGTAGACAAAAAGTAACTTACTTATTATAAGTGTGTAAGTATGTGGTGCATGAGATAGGCATGGAGCGCTATGAACGAAAACGAAAATAAAAATATCAAACGCCAAACAATATTATTTTTAAGTTATTATAGTTTATTTATTAAATTATTAATTTAAAATCAATAGATTTGTATAATACCAAGTTCCCTGGCAACAACTGTTGTATCTTCAAATTTAAATTGTCTTGGATTGACTGTAAATAATAATAATGATAATGGGCCAGTAACATTAACCAACAACAGTCGAAGATAAAAGCACTCAGTGTGTCTTGGATTAACTGTAAATAAGCGTTCGATTTAAATAAATTGAGACATGCATCAACTGGTGAAACTTGCTTGCGGGGCATCCATTTTTTTGTTTGAGCCCATGTGAAATAGCGTGGTACTTGTGAATAGAGTAATGTTCTTGCAAAGGCACCAAAATCATCCGTACTATTACACAAAAAAATGCAGTGAGTGTAGATTTAGGTGGATTTGTACCACGATCAATCACTGTCTCGTTCGTGAAAAATACACGCTGACCGTTTCCAAGATGGACGGCTACCTGAACAGCTGCTGGATCCCGTTCATGAATTAGAAAACCGAAGATACGCCAAGACCAATTTGGTAGAGCGTAATTTCACCGTTTTTGTTCATTGGAGGAGCATTTACATTAGTATTTTCTACTCTAAACACAGCCATATCACTGCCTTTTTGGACATACTTGCAAATATATTTGATGCTCTTCACAGAACTGCAAAACTCAACATTAATATGAGCATTGTGTCTTGCTTAGCAGATGCGAATACGGCACCACCCGCCATTGTCCCCCATTATCGAGATTTCTTCGACGATATATTGGATATTCGTCGGTATTTGTTCTAGTATCATTAGTGAAATCTTTATAAAAATTTTTTGTACATTTTTCATCTGACATGCAAGGCGAAGACGAAGTGGATGTAAATGCTCGATGTACTTGTTGGCGTAGTTACATAAAATATTAAGAAAAAATTTTTGTTTTT